TAGCAGAGTCTTAATCTAGAAGTTCAGCTGACAGCAGTAGAGCCACGCTTGCAAAGCTTGTACTGTGTCATCAAAGCACAGACTTCACTATCCTTGGAGATTCTGCTTAGCCTTTGCATCTCCTGTTGCATACTGCCAAGGGCTGGGTGTGCAACTAAATCACTATCTCTAGGATTAGAAACTATCAGAAAATATGCTCTAAAAATATGTTAGTTTTTGAAGAATTTTGAAGAATGCATGTTGTTAAAAGAAAGGGAAAAAAAAAAACCTCCAAACATTAATTTATTGATTCACAGTGGTTTCAAAATATCAGTCAGGCAGGGTTTTTCAAAGGAAGAGCAAAAGAGCAGCCAGAGGGAGAAACCACTGGACTTAGAGAAGCCATGTAATCAGCAGGTATGCCCTTCTACCTGATGATTTTAACTAGGAGTGCTAACCATTTAACCCAATGAAATTTTTCCAAGGAGGGAGGGCACCTTGCTAGTGTAGTGTCTTTGTCCAAGAATATACAGGATGTTTAGCAAGTCCCTTTAAAACTGAGAAGGGAGATGAAACAGTGCTTAATGATGATGAAAGTCTCATCAGTCTGAACTGATGTTGCTGTGCAAATACAATTTTTTTTCTTTCCTCTCTCTTCATTTTGTCCAGGCAATTCTTAAAACTAAAAAAGAAATAAGACCTCTTCTGGCTTCTAACTTTAGTGTTAATAGTGCTGATGTTGCATCATTAATGGTAAAATATTGGATTCGTAATCCTGAAAGCCCTGGTTGTAACAAAACGTTTCCTTTATTTGGAGTATAAAACTGACCAAGTACTTTTTATTCATATAAAGCTTTTAACTTTTACGTGGGAGAGGGGATGAGAAAGCTTGCCATGTTAAAGTGCATAAATTCACCTCTGAGTTCCAGACATGGGACGGAAGACCAAACAATTCTTTATGTGCACAGATATATGTTCAAGTGGAAAGGTTGACTGTGTGCTTTAATCTTGACTAAAATGGTGACTCAGTCATGACCCAGCTGCATACATGAGTGAGTTGCTACTGCTATTCAGCCATTAATTTTGGCTAAATCATTTTACAGGAATGAGGAGTCTTGGCTACCCTTTCAGATTTGTTAAGGTTCCACTGTAAGAACTAGGTTACTTCAAATTTTCCCAGAAGACATTGCCTTCTTTCTTGTATTAGCTAAGTAGTACTTAATACCTTAGGGAACTAAAGCATACAATCACTCATTGAAGAAGAAAATTTTGATAGAAACTGTTCTTCATGCTCATAAAAATTGCTGACACAGTAAAAATAACTGAAAACAGTCTGTAAGCTCCTTGTAATTTAATATATATATCTGAAGGTGTAAAGTCTCCATGGTTAGTGCAAGGGCTAACTCTGGTATTTGCCAGTATTGCTTTTTGTCTAATCAAATGTGGTTGATAATGGGATTCTACTGAATTTCATGATATTAGCAGTCAGTGGTACAAAATAATGTGGAGATATTGTTAGCATACAAATTTCATGTTCTGCTCCTTCTTTCTACAAAGCTCTTTTATCCTCATGCTGCTGTAAAATTTTCAGGATTGTTTCTTCCAGTGCTCTAATTGGAAAGAGATTCTTAATGGCGACCTCTGAAGCAGCCCGCTCTCATGTAGTGACAGAGTTCTTACTGCTTATATGGCCCAAAACATTGCCTCATTGCCAGATGTTTCATAAGACCAGGAATTGACAGAATAGTACCTTTCTCATTTTTCCAGTTTGTCATCCTTGCATTTTATAGTGATATAAATAAGATCTCAATGTGAGGGTCAAAGAAACTGTACGGTGAGAATGACTAAGAAGATTTCCACAGCAATCTAGAGTGTGGCTGGACAATGCCTACTTGTTTTAGTATTAACTTATTTACAGTTGCTTTATATTTAGATTTCAAAATGACATTTAGAACTTTCATTGTGGTAAGTGAGAAATATGTTTCTCAAGAAGCTGTTGAAGAGGCAGTAACTTAATTCCTCAAACATTCCAACCTCTAGTCAATCAAGATGCATTTTCTAGATAGCCAAAAGCTCCAGTCTACCTTGATAGTTTTATTACATGATTTTCATGCTGCTGGTCACACTTGAATTCTTGCCCTATACTACATAAAAAGTTGCTTTTCTAGGTCTGATGCTGCAGATTCAACCACTCCTTTAAAAAGTTTCTTCTAAATATAATTCTGCTAAAAAGACTTATTTTGATACCTGCTAGACGAATAGATAGACTTAAGCTTAAAAGGGTTTAAAGTAAACAAGCAAAGTAATACAGACTTCACAGCATTTGCTGGTTTTGGTTCAAGCACTTCTGCTGCTCTGAAGAAGTATTATGCTGTTAAACTGCTAGAGTTTTGGTGGAACTCTGGGGTGTCTCATGTGACATTGCTCACTTTGCTCTGGTTTAAACTGCTTGTCATGAATTTCAAATTCAGAATTGCTGCTGTAAGATGGTTTGGACACTACAAGGGACCTATAAGTTTTGCAGCATTATGCTCTCTCAACATGATGAATTACTGCAATTCTTTAAGTTTATTTTGAACCTTATTGTTAGGAAATATAAATGCAAGAAACTTGGTTATTTTTTTCAGACCTATTAGCACATCTCCCCAGTACTGAAGTCTGGTGCAATAGAAACAGATACCATCTCCTGAAAATATTTTACCACATTATTTAGAGGCTACAGATAAATTAGATGATCACAAAATGATGAAATGATACCCATATACTTGCAACATTAGCTGTTCTGTACCGGTATATGTAAGTGCATGTTACCTTTCTAATGGAACGTATAGCTGAGAATCTGTTCTCTCCAGCTTCCTGCAGCACTCTCCTGCAGCCAGGCCTTTATACCACTGTCCTCTCTCTCACAGGCTTCGTAGCTGGCAGAGATCTAAGAAAAAGCCTGAAAGAGGAGAGGATTGCTGTCAGAACTTTTAAGGATAGATCTGAGTTGTAAAGGGGCATTGTAGCAAAACACAATTTTGTCGGTTAATCAAAGTAAGTCAATAGGTAGGAAGAGATGCTTCAGATCGCAATACAGAACTCAACTGCATTTTGGCTTCCTCTTCCCAGAAGCAAGTAGGCCTGAGACAGAGCCCAGCTCTTGTCCTTGTGTAAATCATGAGGAAAATGCTAAGAGCATGACTTGTGTAAGCAAGCTCAGAATCATCACTGGCTTCCCAAAGCAAACCCTCGTGCTATAGATCAGGTTTACAGGCTGTCATAGGAGTCTTTCCTGAGAGCATAAGTTGGTCAGTTCTGAGCCAACACTGAAGGGTATAAGGTTATAACAGTTAACATACTCTTGAATGGCAGAGCACCATGGGTCATTGGTAAAATGGAAGGCTTAGCAATGGATCAAATTGTATCTGCCAAGTATATTTATCTTTCTGCTTGCTAAGTGTTAAAGAGTCCTGGTGACACTGATAAGGGAACTGTTACTTATATTTGCAAAGCCTAAATACATCGGGTCACGACCCTGATTGGATAAGTGGTAGCTAACTCTTATGGCTTCCTAACAATAGAGAAAAATTACAGCACTGGTAATTGGGCACCAACTATGGAGGAAAATGTGAATGGCAATAAGTACAAAGGCAGATTATGACTTTCTGACTCCTTGGCATGCTTTAGGGAGTATATGGACCATGCCACTTTAGTCTGATCTTCACAAAGGAATTGTCTTTGAACAAGCCGAGACTGACAGCTTTTTTCTGACTCTGTGTGAGGTTTAAGTCTGGGACCTGGCACTCATGTCACTGGTGCATGACAAAAAGTAGAGAAGTAACACTTTAGAAACACAGTAGGCCTTCTGCTGCTTCTTTTGTTGCCTGGACAGTCCAGTGTTCTTTCGTATCACAAAAATACAATAAAGGTGCTAGCCATCGATTTGGTCAAGGATGAAACTGGCATAACAGACCTGCAATGGTGCAGAACTAATCTGCAGCCAGGCCTTTCCTGTGTGATAAGCCCACACCCAAGTAACCTAATCTGCAATGGGAAATCACACACACAAAAAGTGCCCAGCATTTAGTGATGGCCTGAATTTTTTCACAGTCATTTGAAGGTTTCCATTGGGGTCCTCTAGTCATTTGATGTGGCAATTAGCAAGAGGACTTTTGTACTCCAAGGAGATGAAACGGCCCTCTCCAATAATTATTTTATGCCTTGAACAGAAAAAAAGAAAAAAAAAAAAAGCCCAAGGAATAGATAACATTGTTACATCAAACAGCAAATGGGTTGTGCTGCTAGCTACTTATTTTCTTTTATTAAAGCAAAGTGCTACTTTTCCCATGAGAAAAATCCTTGAAATTATAAACCTAAATTTCCCCATATTGTCTCTAGACTATCTACATTTTTATCTAGGTTTCCAGTGCAGTCCATTTGCTTTGATCCTGCAGCATTTTATAATTCTTATTTGTTTTTAAAACTCTTTATGAAATATTAGCAATGCGAAGGGGGAAAGTGTTAGCACCATACGTAAAATCTTGTTTTCTTCCCATCAGGGACAAACACACTGAAAGATAAAGTGACAGATTTCCTAATATGCTTAAGAACTCACATACTCTCCATCAATAATTTTATGCAAGATAGAAGAGTTTGATTCCTTCACAGTCAGTATAATCTGCTCAGGAAAAGCTGCATACGAAATGCAGTAACTGGCTTCATTCACATCATGACTTCCCAGTTACAAGAAGACTGTTTGTAGGTGAGGGAATTAAGGCTTGGAGATAGCTCTAGATAGAGCTTATGACAGCATAAGCTGATGTCAGAACCTATCGGTTCTTTTGCAGTATTTTGAATATTTAAGTGAAGTCCATCAAACTTCTGGTTAGAGGAATTTACTTATTTCTTTGTCCTGCCTTTCTTTGTAGTTGTAGTGTTGTAGATGAAAGCAAAAATATTTGACAAAGAATTAATAAAAACATGTTTAAAATTTTAACAGCTAAACTTCTGTTTTATTCTTTAGTTTATTGAGGCACCTATACATGAAACTGAAGGTTCTTTCACCAGCAGTGCAATTTCTTTTTCAGGAAATTAGATACATGTTGATTTGTCTGGGATTAAATCAGAATGGTTCTGTTTCCTTCTGGACTTATTTTTCAGTCACATTAACTAACGAAATTTTACATTTACATGATTCTTTTACATCGAAACATTCCTTAGCAAATGTGTTGTCTTCTGTATCCAATTTGCTCTCCAAAGAAAGGGGTTAGGTCTATATGCTGTTGCTACACATATTTAACTTTTCACCCACACTATAAAAAATCCCTAACTCATCCAGCATGCCGTTATCAGCATTTAGTCCTAATGAAAGAAAGCATTTTTTAAAGGAAGAACGAGTGGGCCTAATTATGTTCTCACTTAAGCTGAGTGCAAAGGAGATCAGAATCAGAATCAATATATATTTTTTTTTTCTTTCTTCTTTCTTTTTTTCTTCTAGAAAGACAGAGAGAATAAGCTTATCAGCTTCACTGGTAGTTGGTCTTCTAGTTGGCATTTTCATTATACAAAATGGACTTATTTTTCCACTCCCAAGAAATTACATAAACATATGTGTTACAGAATGTATGTCACTGCTCCATTCCTTTGACTGAGTCACCAAATGTTTTATTTCATTGATGATGACCTTTCCTACAAATCTTTTACTTCAGTACAAAATATACTCAGGAATGGTAATGGACTATTTGTGTTGGCTGGAGCTGGATGAATACATTGCACATTGATTCCTTCACAGTCAGTATAATCTGCTCAGGAAAAGCTGCATTCACCCAGTTCCATCTTGCTTTTGTGGGTCAGTTTTATTGCCTGTATGGTTTGATGGGCAGCCGGTAAATTGATCACAAGCCATAAACTTGCTAATAGTTGAGAGCCAGAATTTAAACTGAGTTGTTAGGACCTTTCTGTACACCACCTAGACAGCTTATGATCATCATTTTTGTGCAAGAACTCACATTTATTTATTCAAATATCACAGCTTGAGGAGATTTTCATTATTTACTAAAAAACTGTAAACATTTCTGCTGGTGAACACTCAGCAATCCAAAGGAACTGGAGCAGAGTTGATTTACTTTTGTGTCAGTGTTCAAATAAATATTTCCAGAAATGTGCTGCTCACATGCTCAGTTTTTTCACAGTAAAGAGTAATCCAGATGATATGTACCTCAGTCCAGGCGAGCAACAACAGACCCAGCAAAGCACAGGGAGTTCATACAGTATCTAAACATGCAGGAACAGCTGGCATTTTCTTACATTTCTCACCTGACAGACATTAGGAGATGTACATTACCTATTGAGTATTAACTTGGGGAACCAGTGAAGTTCTTCAAATGCTTTTGCACAGAAAAAGCACAGGAGAAAAGAGATTTCAGAACAGCAGAACAAAAATGATAGGTCGTGTCCTTGGGTCCAAAAGGAAATCTTGGATAAAGATGGGTAAAGGAATGTGAGTTCGGAGATGGCTGACAAATGAGGAGGTAAGCATATTCTGCAGACAGCTGTCTGCCTGTTAGCCGTACATGGGGCAGATTGATATCGGTCCAGTTCTCCATCCAAAGCCTTGGTCAGTGCCTTTCTCTTCTTTATTCCACTCCACATACCTTATTCTGCTACGTACTTACATCCCAGACATACGCTGATTTGTGTCCATATGCTATAGATATGTCCTATTAACTCTGATCACAGGATATCTTGATTTCCTTTCTTTTGTATTTTACCCCCTGGGAATAACCGCTTATGTAATTATTATTACTGAACTATGGTAGAAAGAAACCATGAAGGTAGCTCTCTTGTCAGGAAGAGCTCCAGAGAAGATGTAAGTGGTCCTAGCAGAAATCACAGATGGACACAGACTTCATCTCAGTGTGGAGACAAGGTCAGGGCTAAGAACAGTTTGCAAAAATGGACAACAGGCTGAAGGACAGGAGGGTTGAATCTTCACAGCTTCACTCTCATCAGTAAAACCCAAAGAGCAGCTATAATTTGAACCAACTACCCAAGTGTGGTTTAGCCTCACTTGTATATTAGACCTTTCCTACACCACACCCGACACCCCTACATGGGAGTCAGGTGGGACTGTCTGCCAGGAGTTTGCTTGTATTGGAGAAACAAGCATACAGTTAGTGAAGGAATATATTTCTCCCTTTCATGCAGCAGCTTCACTCCGCAAGTCAGTGTAAAGGGTATCAGGTGTGAAGGCACTATGGACCCATCTGCCTTTTGACAATTCCAGATGCTCTTTGGCATGCTGTTCCCTAGAATAAATGGGGGGAAACAAAACAGTGCTCTGATCTTCACAAGTTTTTCAACTTTGTACTGCCACGTTCTGTGTTACAACACACAAAGTATGTGGTCTGTATGAAAGATGAACCATCTTTAAAGCATCCATCATTTCCTACTACTTTGAATACAAATGCTACTGAATGCACAAGTAAGAGGCCTTTTTTGGGGAGAGAAGAATCCCTCTCATTTGTCAAAGAAATTCCCAAGCACCTTGCAATAGTTGACCTGCTTTCATGGGGAAGAGATACAAATTCCAAACTGGATTGCCGAAAACAGATGGAGTACTGCACTTAAGTACAATCATAGGAGTGTCTAGAAAGATAAGGATGTAGCACAAGCAGAGGACTGAAGGTGGAAGACAATAGCTCTTCCCAAATAAGCTTGTATTAGGAGTAAATGAACATGAATAAGAGCAACATATAAATATGAAATACATTGGAAATCAACTTTGGGTCCCAGGAGGATCTGAAGAAACCCACTATGTCAGCTGTGCTTACAACCCATTACCCATCTATTCTGCTGGAAAACTTGATAACAACTCATGGCATTGTACTAGTTAGAATACTTAGGGATAGTGGAGCAGCCATGAACACACAGCATATGGCAGTTGTCTGAATATTTACGCAGATATCTCTGTGGTTTTGGTCTGTCTTAAGCTAGGTTGTTGCTGCAACAACAAATAAAATATAGTACTAATAACTTTGACCCATTCATGCAAAAACAACTATGATTAGTCTCCATCTGCCAATATGGAAGAAGTGAAAATATTAACTCACCATGATCCTAAGATGACTTTCACTGAAATGGAGGTTTGTTCCTTAGAGGAGAATGAAGCCACTGATTCAGAAAGACACTTCAGAGTGTATCTTGTTGGCAGCTTGCTCTCCTGTCTCGTTGACTTCAATAGGTTTCAGACTGCAGCTTAAGTATTTAACTGAGGTATTTATCTTTAAAATCCTTTATTAAGGCCTTAGTTACGTGGGAATGTTGCAGTGGTTTGACCTAGGATATGAATTTAATTGATTTAGATAAATCAGTGCAAACTCTTGTGGGAATATATTCATTTTAGCGTAAAAAGAGAAGCTATTAGTTTGTCTTAAATTAGCTTAGTTTTAAATTAAATTAAATTAATCTACTTACCTAATTATTTAGCCAAGCCTTAAAGCCAAGATTTAAAATCTGACTGAAGTTAAACCAATGCACTTTCCCTGTAGACATCAGACTTTTGACCCTGTTGCTTGAATTATGTAGTCTTCATTCTTGATTAAAATGATTCTGTAGTCATCACACAGAGTGGGTGTGGAGAGAAGCCGGCAGCAGTACATGTGTTCCCTCGAGTCCTTTAACAATAAAAGCCAGATTCCTTTGGTTTGACCTATGAAATAGATGTCTTCTTGTGTACTTCTAAAAACATGTTTGCAGTCTGCTCTGGGGATATACATGTACATATGTTCTTTTAACTGCCAGAGATGCTGTAAAAAACATCAGAGTTTAGGAAATGACAGAGTGAGTGGGTGGCAAGAAAGGATCACATAATCCTCCAAGAGAGTCTTTTGGGTAGAGACTAATTTCAGGATGTGAATAGCAGCTGTGGGTTATCACTGCTTATAGTGCATCAGAATTCTTACAAATCTTCGGACTGGGACAACATGACTGAGAATTTGTAGGGGCTTTAATGCAGGCTCAGAATAGCAGCCTCTCTAATGCCTCCCTGCCCTCATCCTCCCCACCTCGGTGTCTCTAACGAAAGCAATGGTCAAAGGAGTCTCATGCTTCACCTAATTGCATTTTACATCACAATTTTTACAGCAATAAAGCCAGATTGTGTCCTTTGACCAGTCTGCAAATGTTTCCTTCAAATGTCACTTGAAAATGTCTCTCCCATTGATCAAGGCAAAAGGATCCAGATTTGCTAAGGGACCCAGTCTTTTCCAGGGTGCCGACACCGTTCAGTACAAAAGCACATATGGTATACATATATACCCAAAGAAGGACCTAGTATTTAAATTTGCAAAAAAAAAAAAAAAAAGAAAAACACAGTCAACCCTCCTGAGTCTAAATGGTCTACAAACTTCCATTGCTAACACTCACCACTATCCAAGCTAGCTGCCTGTGGGGGAGCATGAGAGGAGGACAGCTGGAGATGGCAGTAGCATCACTGAGTTTCACAGTCTGCTTCTGCTGCTCTGGTTTGGCACCTGTGAAAAGACAAAAATCCTAAATCCCAAGGCAGGCCTGTCTCAGCAGCGCTTATCACAGCAGATGTCCAGGAAGCTTAATAAATATGTGAAGGCCTACTCCATATGCTGAGGAACATACTATGGACATTCTTGTGATACTCACACAGGTTCTGACGTCCCCTTGCTTTCGAAAATGACTCTTGCTACCTCACCAGCAGTCCCACATTATTCATCTTTTAAATGCCCAGGTAACAAACTGAATGAATATGAACTGAGACCCAAATACAATGGAGATTCAAACCAAAAGATTAAGTGGAAATTGTATTTTCTCTGGTTCAAGTCTCTAATGCCAATTGGATTAATTGGGAGGTTAATCCAAGATACTAAACACTGATATGACTCAATTATGCATGGTATAATAGGATGCCATTCAGTTCCTTGGCTATTTTGTTCCCTCCCCATGGGGTAGTCTTGTCTGTTTAGATCATAAGTTCTTAGGGACTTGAGCTTGCTACTGCTAGCATCTAGCACAATAGCAGTCCTTTCACAGCTGGCCCCTTGGCAATCCAACAAGATTACATTTACTATCAGTATTGTTCAGTGGGAATTTTTCCATTAACTTTAACTGGAATTAGAGAAGGCTCATAAATGCTTTGAAATATATTACTCATAATGCTGAAGTAGAGGTGTGCTCAGTATATTTTTTCATGGAATGTCAAAGGTCAGAAGCAGGTTCAATCCTAGATATTGTTCCAGTCTCTAACTTTTGACATTCTGCAAAGCAATCTTTTGGACTGCTTTTTTCAGACTTTCACAACGATCTGGCAGAAGATGCATGTGCAATTAGGCTGATGCAACCTTTTCTCTTCGGAAAACTCACCAGCAAGTGAGCATAGGTAGTACACAGAGAATGTGTTGGGCTTGGGTCTTCTTTGCCTTTGCATGGTTATTGTTTGCAGTTATGTTTATCATCATTCAGTGTGCTTCACACGTTCTTAGCTTGATATGACAAAAGGTGAAACTAAAACCAAATATGTTTCTGTGGCTTTGATACTGAAATATTCTCGAAGATGGAACAACAACCAATATGCACAGAGTAAGACTGCATGTGAAAAATAAGTCTGGTTTTATGTCAAAAGTTTCAATGCAATTGCAAGGGAAAAGTATACTAAATGGCAGTGTTTAATTACTATCTCCTCTGTGATTTATCAAGTAAGCACTTACATTTGTATGCACCACAAGGCTGTCTCCCAAACATTTGACCTCAATCACTCAAATCAATGGATATTAGAAAATTGTTATTCCAATTATGATTCGCATTAATAATCTTAAGACCAATCATCACATAAAGTCAATATCTGAATCAAATATTTGTTTTAAGATGCTTGTTGTTGAAACATGGATTTTTCTCAACATGAGATCTTTTTGTGTGTGATATTATTAATTGAATGGATTTTTTTTTTTTTTTTTTTTTTTGACAACAGATTTTAACTCCATATTTTTATCCAGGTGTATTTCAAGAAAAATTGTAACAAATTTTACCTGCTCATATTCCTTTTTAATACCAAAAATGAGAAATGTTAAATTTAAACACTGTTCAAATGACTTCAAAAGCAGTTTAGACACATATTTCAATTAAATATTGAGTGAAATCTTGTGAAATCGGGTTCACAATTAAGCTGAGAGCAATCAATGCAGCAGGCATAAAATGTTTACTCTTACTCTTTTTGCAATATTATTTGCCTAAGAAGTGAAAAGGATGGTCCATACTGTTTTCAGAGTAATAAGTGTGAGAAAAAATACAAGAGAAAAAAATCTTTACCATTATCACTTGAATATTGGGAAAACAAAGCTTGCAGTACTCCAGGTCCAGCAAAGAGCAGCCTGTCTGCCAGCAAAACTCTTGGGGAAATAACCTGGAGGGAATGTCAGTTCACTGCTACATGATCTCTGGCTGAAGGAGTGTACTGGGCTCTAATTCAGATGCTAAGAAACTTAGGAAACAGAGAACAAAAGGACCATTTTATCTTCAAAAGTCAGTATACTGATAACCCAGCTCTTCAGATTAATAGCAGATTGCTCCATAAACAGGACTATTCCACTAAAAAAGATAGTGAGCATAAAATGCTACTCAATATATGGAAATAGACCAGAATATAATCTAAATCTAAATAAATTAATTCTGAATTATCACTACTGGATCAAAAACATTAAGCACTTTCAGACATTTTGCCTGTAGATAAATTGTAAAACCTTCTTTTGATATTCTTTAGGAGATGAGAGGCTAAGATAGTATTAAGACAACATTTCTTAGTGTATCTAAAGATGAAAGAAAACTCCCAAAGAGTGTTCACCAAATAGGTACTCACCATGAGCTAGGAAATTGGCGGTTCAAATGTCATGGGGAAATAGTATGTCAGTGCAAATTCTTTAGTGATCAATAAAGTATTCTGCATTCAAAACCTTCACAAAAAGGTTTCTGAGAACCTCCTCAGACTCCCCTAGGGACAATCCTTTGACATATTCATTGACACCTACTGGGGTAGTTGTCTTTCTAGTTTTGCTATAAGACAGCAATTTGCCACCTCATTATCAGTGTGATTGATGAGAACACCATCTGAAAATCTGTCACGTGATGATTGTTGGTTTGACTCCTCTAGATTGATCTCCTTAAAGACATACACTGATGTGCATGACAAAATGTTTTCTGGGGAAAGATGTCAGTGACAGGTTTTTTGAAAGAAACTGCAGTTTCTGCAAAAGCAATTGACTCTTCCCTCCCTCCTCCCCATCCCTCCAATTCACCCTTTTTTCTCTCTCTTTGATATTTGTGTTTAAAAAGTAGAACATTAGACAGCTTTTGCTTTTAATGGCATTCCGGAGTTGGCTTGCTCTACTGGCAAATGCGGTGACTTTGACACTAAAGTGTGTTAGGCACTTGCAGATCTCTGAATGAAAAATTCTTGGTAAATTAGAAATGTGATCAGTGCACAAATACCACCTCTTACTAAGAGCACACTGAACACTACGTCACTACAGCGCTTTTGAAACTTGCATAATTTCTCCCTCTCTAGCTACTTGTTGCATTTCCATCCTCTTTCTCTTATGCTTTTTACAGCTCTTCTTTGTATAAAAGCTAAGCATCCCATATTTTGAATTGTTCCCTTTTTCTTTCCCGTTGTTAGCATCACTTGGCAGGTGCTTCAGTTCTGTTATGGGAAGATGAGTTTGCAGCATGGTGGGAAGTCAAGAAAGATTTCCCCTCACTAGCCTAGCAGAAGCACACAGAAAATCCCTCATTGCTGTGTCTCCCTGGCTGCAGATCAGTGAAAATGTGGTTGGACACAATTCAGCGCCCAGTGCAGCAGAGCCATCCTCATCTGCAACACGCAGCCATGAGCTCTGTGGATCCATGATGCATTCTGATGTGTGACACAGCTTTGAAATCAAAGCTCCAAAACAAGAGATTGCCTCTGTCTTGCCCATCTCTACTCCTGTTCACCAGGGTTAGACAGCCACATCTTTCCCTTTTTGGTGCTTCCTAGCCTTTTAAACTTATCCATCTCTACATAGTCCTGATTTAAGAAAGTGTTTCTAGTGATAACATTAAGATATGAATCAACAGGCCACCGTCGTGCTTCAGGAATGAGCTAGAGAAAATCAAACACAATTTGCAACCAAAGTCTTTTGATGTAAAGGCTAGTTGTTGGTCATCACTGTCACTGGCTCCTGTTACAGGCAGGATGGTTGCCCACAATTTGGAGACACCTGAGAAGTACGTCCCTGTACTCTCTAGTTGCTACACTGAAGGCAAAGAGGACGGAAGAGGGCCCACACCGTGCTCTGCTCTCCAGCCAGGTAATGCAGTTATACCAACTGAGATTTAGATCCTTCTTGGAGCCAAGGGTGATCCCATGCACCTTGTTGGTGTTCACTAGCTCCCTAGTTTGTCTCGTTTAGCACTAGGCTGAGACATTAGACACAGGAAGAACTTGCTTTCCAAATCTAGATTTGCAAGTTTTTGGTTTTTTTTTTTTCCCAAAGAGTATGAATTTCATTAACACTATTTCATTTTTCTTAGTTTCTATATATTTATGGTCCAAATAAGACTTGAGTCTTACTCTTTTCTCTCCATCCATCAGATTTCCTTTATTTTCTCCTATTTCATTCTGTTACCTTTCCAATAGGAAAGATCAACATGTTATCATAAAATCATGTAATTGTAGAATTAAGATTGGAAAATACCAGTAAGATCATCTATTCCAACAGTCAACAAATCACCACCATGTCCACTGAAACATGCCCCCTAAGACATATAATTGTCAGCTGAGAACTGGGAGCAAATACAGATTGAATGCAGATGTTAGACTACAGGCTAACTCCTATGACCCAGAACAACACCATAAAATGCAAAATCTAGTAGATACATTTCTTTCTGAATTCTACAGAATATTCCATTAGGCTCAAATTGTTACTTAGTAAAAAATACCATACCCTTTCATCGTTGTCTGTTTAGTAGTATACATTTTATATTGACTACAGTTCAGGAAAGACATCTCAATCTGTAAGATATTCAGGGAGCTGATACCTAATGAACAATAGATGAATTCTAATCTGCTTTACTGAAATGACTGTTACACAAACACATCCAACTCCTTATATAAAGATTTGAAGATAAAGATTGTACTAAAACTCTTTAAAATACATTTTCACTAATAAAAGATTATTCAAACATATCAAAGAAGGTCTTTGAGGGCTTTGCTCTTCAGCATAATTTTAAAAACTCTCTAGTATTCTTTGAAAGAAAAAAAGCACTAGTTCTGTCATCTTCTGCTTCCGTATTTTTAAATAAGCTTCTTCAGGACAGAAATACTGCAAGATTCACTGAGTTCCCAAAAACATAATGCTCCTATACAGAATGAAACAATTCCGTGTAATACATCCCAACAACACTGCTGGTAGTGCAGGGCTGGGAGAGGGGGCTGTTCTACCCCACTGACTGTGCAGTGGAGATTTGG